TTCTTTTTTTTTCTTTCACAAAACCAACAATAAAAAGAGAGGATACATTTAAAGTATCATTTTGTATTGAAAGTATAGCGGTTGGGACTCCATGATAGTGCAACTCTCCTATAGTAGTACTTCTATTCTAATTCACCTCTGGTTTACATTGAAAAAAGAATTTAGGAGGTAAAATTTGGATTATATTAACCCTTTCGTGAGCCAAAATATGGGAAGATGAATGAGAGAAAAGGAGAATGAAACTGTCCCGTTAATTAGGTAAGGCTTTTCAATATTCTTTATGTATTTTATTCGCATCCAATTTGAATCCGAATTAGTCAAATCAATGAATTTTGAGTATCGGATAATTAAAGAAAAATTTGTGATTGAAGTTTGCTTCTCCAAACTTAGAATTGAGGAGATTTACTGACTATCCCTCAAACTATCCAAAGCAATTTCAGAGTAGTAAGATTGGACGTCTTATCTATCTCACGAGTCACGACTTTACAACCTGTTAAACAAAAAATAATTTTTGTGGTCAAAGCAAATTATAGCATAAGTTAGCTTTCTAATAATCAATTTTATTTCATTTTTTCTAATATAGATGAATAAGAAATAATGGAAATAAAATATTGAGAGAATAAGGAAAGAGAAATCTTATTGATCCTTTCTGAAGAGGGGAGAACAAGATTCTTCAATTAGCGAAAAATAAAGTATCTTCGTGAATTTCTTGATGATTATATAAAAAATGGTAAGTGGGGTTTGTATATGTAACTACTTTGACCTGCTTAATTCTTCCCCGTTACTAATATTTATTACATTGATTGCTTTGTTACTTGGGTAATATGTAACGATTATGGTAATAACAGTCAATTGCGCACAATCAAGGATTATGTCAATTTCTTTCTATATTCGTGGCTATTAATGAGTCTTCTTTCCTTGCAATCTTTAATTATTCATCCCGCGCCTATTTCTTTTTCCCAGTTGTCAAGTGCGGTATCCTTGTAAGTAATCCCTCGGGTGTTTTACCCATACTTCTCCGAAGTCCGAATATTCATTCCTCTTTATTGTTCCAACTCTCATGACACCTGTCAGCACATCATTAGCCCTGGTGGCGAATCTATTTTTCTACCAATACACAACCCTCGTACCCGAAAAGAGAAATTGTAAAAACGAAACAAATCGTTTTCATTAGCTTGTTCAATCTCGAAAATGTTACTGCTTTACATTGAATTGTGCGGCTTACCGTAGAATGCACTACAGGCAAATCAGGAAAAAGAAAAGCGAGAAAGTCATAACCTAATTTCCATAATGAGATAAAAGCATTTGTGACACATTTTAGTGAACAAAAACTCTGTTTTTTAAAACTATTTCACCAGCTAAATAGATTATGATTAAATTATTATTGTTATTAAATTGCCCAGTGACTGGACAATACCATCGGTAAACTCCCTTCTCTTTATCTTTGAATAATTAATACTGGTAGACTAGTAGTACCCTTTAGATTGAATATTGTTTTGCGTGTTATGGTAGTACTTCATTTTATAACATGTGACTTTCCTAACTGCAGATTCACAGTCGGTAACTTTAGTTAGTTAACCCAGTGAACTAGTTAATGCAACAAATTTACCTCAAAAAGCAAGACTGGATTGCTTATTTTTTAGATATCCGCATCCGTAAATTATAACGAGGGGGCCGCATATCTGTTGCGGTTTGTTTCTTTCTTTTTCAAATTGATCTTTGCGTGAAATTAACTTCAGAACAGTAGTAAGAATTATTATCCCGTAATCAAAGTTCTAAGTCACAAAAATAATCTCTGGTGGTTTGACCCTTTTCTAAACTTCACGAGTTAATAAATTGAGCTATCTTTTGATTGGTCCTATGTAACTACCATCAATCTTAGAAAAAACGAAAAGAATTAGGAAAACAACAATATTAGGCATTTTGGTTGGATTCCTAAAGTGAATTACTGACCACCGACCAATACCATTTTCGTTTTTCTTCTCAAAGACAAATACTAGTGGGTTCACCTAATTTGTCTCGATACTAAACACCTACGCAGTACTAAAGGATTCCATTTAAAATGGGCTGGGTCCACCATCACACTTATTAAAGAGATGGACCTTCAAACCTTAGTACGATTGACACTGCTTAAAACTTCTGTTAGCCATCATAATCTCTTTCAACCTCTGTCCGACTAGGGTCCACAATGACATACTTTCGGCCTCCCTAAAAATTCCCGATCTCAATGATAATGAAATTTGATTGAGAATTTGAGAGAAACAAAGTTCAAGATTAATCAGTTGCAAATGATGGAACGCTTAAACTCGGAGGGATGGTGAGATCCTACAACTCAACTCTGATATGTGGCGGGATAGGTGAGATCCTACCACTCTGATAATGGTGAAATTTTTAGTATGGACCACTTTCCACTTAAATGGATCCAACGCAACACGAATCTATATTAATCGAGCTAATTTTGGATTCTAGATGGTTTTAAAAAATAAAATTAAAAGGAATACTTACATCTCGAATAGGAAAATTCGTCATCAATAATTGTGCAGTAGAAATCAGATGGCTTTCACGTTACACGAGAGGGGAAAAAAAAGTTAACAAACTTTAAGGAGAAATTACAGCAAACATTTTACAAACCATAAGGAGGAATTATAGCTAACTTTTTACAAACTATGAGGAGGAACTATCTTTGGCATACAGTAACCAACTAAATTGTGTAAAGTACAAGGCATTTACATGTGTACAGAGGGAATTGAGAAGATTACATGGAGATTCCGGGAAGTGTGAATTTCACTCTAGTACTAAACTGAGTGGGATTTACTGCATCACTTTTGTCAGACATTCTAGAAATATGATTTAACCGGTTCAAGTAGTATCTGAATTTTATGTAATACAGTGGAAGTTTCAAAAGAAAAGACTCATCCCAGAAATCTCACTGAAGCTCATAGACATTGGCGGAAAGGTTGCTTAATACACTAATTTAGGTCGTGGAGCGATCACCTTCCTGTCCAAGACGATTGGGCAAGTATCAGATCTGCAGTTGATAAAGTTCCAGATTGATCAACATCAAGACTTTCGAACTCCTTCAATACAGCTGCAATGTCATGTTGGTTGATCTTCCCCATCTCCTTGAGTTTATAGATAACAAATTCAGCAGCCCTTGGGAATTGACAAACAAAAGGAAGATTAGAACTATTTGAATTTTGAAATACACTTCGAGACTACAATGAGAAAAAAGAAAAATACATGCTAGGATCGAGAGCTCGGACAATGTGAAATTAAACCAAAAAAATGTTCAATGACAAAAACAACAAGGAGTCAAAAGAATTAAGAGCTTCGATCAACTTGACCTACGTCCATAGACAAGAAGTACAAGAAGTACAATTTACCACACCCAAAGTGCCCAAGGAGAGAGTACAAAATTAGAGTAAATACTCTAATCAAGTGAATCAAGAAGGGTCTTTGCAAACTAATTATAGGAACAGGCTTTAAAGTTAAATGAACTTACCCTACAACCCCATCATCATCAAGATCAGCTTCCTCCAAATCAACATTTGTCGTCCTTCTTGAAAGAACACACTTCACAAGCTCCTTCTGTCTCTTTTCCGTGTTAAATTCAGCAACATAAAGGAAGAACTGACCCAAACAAATGGTGCTTGACAAAATCCAAAATATAGCAAAAACGCGCCCTGCTTTGGTTGAAAAGCTTTTGTCTCCATATCCTAATGTTGTAATGGTAGAACAGACACAATAAAAGGCATCTAAGGTATCTAACCGTTCAACTCTAGCCAGGAACACTGTCCCAGCAACTACGAGCACTATAAGGAAGCCCGCTACCATGAAGCACTTGTACCTTACTTTGTTTGTTTCAATCTCCTCCAGTATTTCACTTGGACCAACTTTATGACGCATATGCAGTGCTTTGATTAATAGTGTTTCTTGCTTCTCCACTAAGTAGTCTGCTCCTTTGCTTAGAATCATTCCAACAAGTGCCATTCCAGAGAACACAAAGACACAAGCGAGCAGTTTAGTAGTTGCACTGTCAGGCACAATATCCCCATATCCAACCGTGGTCATTGTCACAACACAAAAGTAAACAGAATCAAGAACCCCATCTATTTTCTTTCCCTTGATCTTGTTTCTAACCAAATAAAAGCAAATGGTACCAATACCCAAGTATATAACCAAGTAAATAATAACTTTCTTAATACTAGGGTGGAGTTTATCCAAAAGCGATTTAGAACGTGGAAGTGATTGGTCATTTTTTATTTCATTCATTTCTACAGGAGCAAATTCGCCCAGAGGAGCACTTTTACATCGGCGAAATCTTTTTTTCTTAGGATCAACCGTATGATGCGTCTGATGCAGTTGATCCAACAAGGGCTGGATTTTGTCTCTGTTAGTCATTCCAGCAAGCCTGTAGTGATTTAAGTAATCCTGCAAGAAATTGTGGCTGCTTAAGAGTGTAGAAGTCCTTTAATTTCGTAAATCATAACTGATATGTTAATTCTTTTTCTTAGACTCGTCTTCAAATACCAAAACACTAACACAGACAGTTTTCTCATGTTTTTCAAATGCAAACAGTACCTTGCCTGTCAATTATTAGAGTAGTTCTTATTCTATGATGCATCTAGAATCTAAATGCATGCCACAAGCCAAGTAAAGAATTTGCTAGCATCACATTTTCTGCAAAAGATTGGTTCTTGTATTGACTCGCAAACTACCATATTGCAAGTTTGCAACTTATACTTGGCATCCTGAGGCCTATGATAATAGCAGGTGCAAGATTCTCGTGGATGCTCTGGATACATTGGATTTATAAGTTGGGTCTTCCTAGTTGCCACATCATATATAAGCTCAGGACACCTTATCGTTAAACTAGGTAGTGGAGGCAGATTGTTCTAGTTGAAGGAAACATTGATCAGATAAACAAAGTTAAGCATTTTCTTAATGGTCACATGTTTCTTTTTGCCCCCAACATATGAAGTCTCAACTACAACTGAAAGAACTCCACGTGATTTTCCTGATCTAGCTGGTTCAGCCAAGGGGTTCCTGATCATATGGAACTCACCTGTCAAACATTTGGGAGTTATCACCTAAATTAGGTTCTCATTGTTCAGATTTAAGTGATCAATTTAACCTAGTAGCTGAAAAATAATGAAGCTAATTCGTGCTGCAAGGCTTTTCCTTATAAGCTACTTTCCTTTACATCCCCCGTACCAGTAAATCATCATATAGAAACAGATTCTGAAGCAAATTAGTGTTTGAAGAACTTCAAGTACCATACAATTTTGGCCAAAGTTAAGCACTCCTCTTGCTCAAATTCCAACAGGTGGGGTTAACAATTATAGGAACATTTTGGACATGGGTTCATACTCATCGGTGAATAGAGTTAGGATTCAGAGACGACAAAATTTTGGGTTGTGGCTGCTGAGAAAATCCTCTTAACCTAGGTTGCTAGTCACATAGAGCGAAGATGCATGATACCGCTGATTTCTCTTTATTATTGACAAAGTTCTGCACAGTAAGAACACAAGCATGGACTTGATTAGTCTCTCTTATACTTCACCTAGACACAAATAATGAAATGCATTTAGATACCTAATCTAAATGCATATGTAGTCAAGTTTCGCATTGACGAAAAACATTATACATATAATCCAAGTGGCCACTGTATTAAGTTGGACTCATCTTGTCTGTAGCAGAGACATACACGATGCATTTCATTCTGTTATTAGCACGTCAGTAGAACTAAAATCAAGGGGTTCCTTCGGCAATATTCGTTTTTTCTCTCGGATGCAAGAGATTGAGTTTGATTTCTTTATATCTCTCATCCCTTCTACTATATTGTGTTGGACACGTGCTAATCATATCTGCAAAATGATTTGTCGCTTGCAGAATCAAGAGCTCTTGCTTCCAACGCCAGAGTAAGAGAAATAACCTATATGTCCTGGATTGACAAACTTGTTCTTGCAACTACAACATAAAATTGGAAACCACAACGAATCTAAAATACTTTCAAAAGCAAGTAACCTTTCAGGACCTCTTGAAGTTGGACCAATTCTCTACGTGAGACTTAAATAGATAAGCATTAATTCCAGTAAAATCCTACAGTCACAACTCATTGTTTTCCTCCATATTCTTACTATAATTAGTGAAAGAAAATTACATCCAGCCAACAACAAATAGTAATTAAAGATAAAAGTAGCTTTCCTTGGCCAAATTGGTAATTCAGCCACCAAAATTGCTAAATAAATACTAAAATTCAAACTCTATAGAGGCTGAATAAACTAGCTTACCAAACAGGACAAAAATTCACTCTAACTCCCCCAGCTGGTCCAGCCCACCACTGCTGCCGCTAAATCGCAAATTGCCATGTTTTCGATATTTTGTATGAGTATTTATGTTGCCTTCCTACAAATTTATACAGTATAACAAGAGGAAAAAAAAACATACATTCAAAGCTATTTATATAACGAAAGACTGAGCTTAGACATATTTAATTGTAATCGAATTACCAAAAAAAGAAAGTTGTTTCGGTCCTCTCTGTGGCTCGAATCTTTTTTGACAACGTAATTACTTCTGCTACAAGTGAGCTACTTGGCATGGAGGCGTGAAGACAGGTCTTACACTTGTTACCATCAATTGGAGTTTTAAATTCCAGGCTTTCCCCTTTCTTCCAATCAAATTGCTATCACTTTCAGCTTCTTATAGGAGATGTCGTCATTTGGCGTTTACATGTTTTTTCCTACCAGGGAGGTAACAGTTTTAATCCAGAAGATCCTTAAGTTTGGGGTAAGGCTATAATTTACAAACCAATTGACTACTCTAGAATTGCTCATTTGGCACTAACAAAAATATACTACTATGTTTTCCACGTGTCCAATCTAAATAACAATCGCCACTTGAGTTTTCTTCCCCGATTTCTTTTTGCTTAATGATACTTTTTACTTTTTAAATTTTGCATTGATTCTCTTTGTTTGCCCGATAATTGGTACAGTTGAATTTATACGTGGTTTCTAGACAAGTGAATTAATTTGATCCTGAAATAATATAACAATTTGAAAAATATATAATACTTAGCCTTAAAATATAGATAAAGCAGCAGAGATGATAGTTCCTAGAGCGAAGCTTCCGGACACAGCAATGATGAGATCAAAAGTTAAGTAAATAAAATTGCATTGAGCTTTGTATAGAATGCAGAGTAGGTTTTGCCAGAAAATTCGTGCCCTTCCAAAGATTACTGAGCTTATTATTTATAGCTATGGAGAAGGTACTAGGATTGTGCGCTTCTTTAATGTCAATTATGAGGAGCATTAATGAAGACGAAACAGTGAACATAAATGCCAAATTCTCTGTAACGGGCCGTTGCTGTCAATAATGTGAAATATTCCTTATTAAATACTACCGGGCGCAGAGCATTTAATGCCTTTATGAACGTTATCTCTTCCGGTAACACACGGGATAGCTGCGTCCGATTTTTGGTTATCCCCGTCTTGAGTTCCACGCGTCCCCTTCTTGGGTGGCTACATGCCATAACATATTTTAACTAATACAGATAGTCCCTCTGCTTTCCGGTGACATAACTTTGTGTTACCGGAAAGTTGGTAGAAACACTCTTTTGGCAGGAATTACTATAATTCCTTTCGAAAGCCACTGACGGTTGATTAAATGCCTGTCACTCCGCATTTAATACCCCGAACACGCGTCTTCCCATAATTTAGCGTGTCTTTTCCCGGTTATCGAGGTAATCCTGGCCAAGGATTTAGCCGCCAAAACTTTACTTATACGTATCAACTTCCCCCCTTTATTCCAACTTTCTTCATCTAATTTCGCCTATTGTGTCTTCATCTTCTTCAAACAAAAAACACTTTCTCTGTTTTGATGGCTTCTTCCTCAAAACGTACTGGTTCTTCAAAAGACAAAAACAAAACCGACGACTTTGTCGCTCCAACCGTGGACTCCATCATACCAAAAAGACTCAATATCGCAAAGGATTTTGAGGAGAAATTCCCTTCTGCTAACCCTCGTACATGGGCCGTTAGTAGGTACCCTTCTTCCATCCGTCCTTCCAGTATTCCCGCTGTGAAAAAAGATTGTCGTTGCCATGAATTGGATATCATTGCTCCTGATCTATCAGAGCGAGTGACCCTTCCCAAGGAAGGTTTTACATACTTTTACATGTATCCCTTTACTTTGGGTGCGTTTTCTTTGAGTGGAGAGCTCGATTCCATGATTGTGGAATTTTGCCTCCGCTAACAGGTGTGTTTGGCACAGGTAAGCCCTTCTGTGTGGAGGACGGTTGCCTGTCTTCGACGTTTGCGCCAAGAAACTGGAGAAGAGCTAACATTAGCTCACATGATGAATCTCTACTCCCCCAAGATTTTCCGGGGGATGAGGGAGGGTATGATAAATCTCTGCAAACGAGGTCACCATGCTTTGTTGACTAGCATGGATGATGACAGTGACCGTGGGTGGACGGAACGGTTTGCTGCAGTTGACACTAACAATATTATTCCAGCAACAGCTTCATCCTTTCTGGCCTCTTGGAACCGCACTCGTAATATCTCTAATATATCTTCTTTCATTAAGTACTCTTCTATGGCCGTATTTTCATTCTTCGTATGTTTCAGCAACTCGATGGGTCCCACCGGTGGTAAAAGGCTTAGACCGGTGGGTTCAAAAATTTTGGACGTCACGACACCCGAAACTTGCTTGTGGAAATAACTAGCCTCAAAATATGGGCGGAAGGCAAAAAATCATGGTAATTTGAACTGACCTCGATTCCTTCTTTCTTTGCCTTGTATATGGAGAACTTGATTGAACCTTTCTGACTTGTTTATGAAATTAGGTCTATCTGCAGGCTCTATTATTGTCCCCAAGGAGGACGTTCTGGCTGATCCTGCTGATGCAGCGAGACTACTTCAGGAAGCTCTTACTCGAACAGGTATCTCCAGGCCTGTTTCGGGCGCAAACATATCTTCATGGAGTCCACGTCCAAAAGATAAGCAATCGAAGAGAAGGCGTTCTTCTGCGACCGGGGAGAAGAACAAGCAGGCAAAGACTGCTGTCCCCGAGCTATCTCCGGTGGCGATGACGACTGGTCCTCCTTCCGAGCCGGTCATAAACACTGTGATGATTGATAATGAAGAAGAAGCTAGTGATGAGGGTGCTTCTCTTCATAGAAGGCGACGATCCTTATCATCTCAACAGATGCTCAACCTGTTGAGATAGTTACACCAACCGAGGATGATGTCTCGGTACTTTGGGGAGAATTTGATATGGTGGATAATGCTAACTCCCATTCTCGGGCCCCAATTGTTGTGTCCGGTACTACGAGGAAGAGTATCGGGTCCTTGTCGTCTTCGGTTGGAGAGCACCCAACTTCCAGTCTTTCTTTTGACGCAATTGTTTCCCATTCTTCAACCCCATCAGCTTCATCTCCACCTTCTCCAACACAAGCAACTGCTACATCAATTCCATCTTCATCAACTCTTCCACTAGCGGTAGCTACATCATTTCCATCTTCATCCACTTTTCCACCAGCGGTGGATACATCATCTCCATCGGCTGCACCTGACTATGAAGAAGGTGTTCATCTTCCTTAGTCCATAGTTTATGGAAATTTTGGGCAAAATTATGCTGCCCCCTCCGAAGATCCATAGAGGAGGAGGAATGTTACTCTTTCGGTTCTACCGGGTGCAATCTGCTCTGCCGGCCGGTGGAGCTTGCTAACTATCTGAAGCCCTTGGCTTCAGAGAAGGATTGGGAGAAGATTCAGACACTCTCGGGAGAGTGTTTGTTGAACAACGCTATGCACAAAGCCGCAGCGGTACGTTTCTTTCTTCCTCTGTTATTTCTTCTACCTTCGAACAAATGTATTCTAAGTTTTACCTCTTCTTGTTTTGTAGGCCAACTTTCTTGCTTCTGAGGGCCTTCAGAGGTTGATTCGTGAGAAGGAAGAACTTACTTCTGCACGGGATCAGCTTTTGGTGGAGCGGAACCAAACCATTCTCCGCCTTTCGAAATTGGAAACCAGAGCCACAGAGGCCGTTGTTTTGGAAGCTCATTTGCAGCAAAGCGAGCAAGAAGTGGTAACCCTCAGTTAAGAAATTACCCCGCTAAGGGTTAGATTTGATGAGGCCAAGGCTAAATAGGCTGAGGTCCAGGACGTCATTCTTGCTGCAACCGAGTGCGAGGCTGCTACTGCGAAAAAGGTAACTAACTTGGAAGCAGGCTTGAACTCCAAAGTCGAAGAGCTTGCTGCCGTGGGGGCGAAACATGACCAGCTAGAAGAGAAGTACAGGAAAACTATCAAGCATAACATGCTCTTTAGTTCAACTATCTATGGGCTTGATGTCAGCCTTAAATCTGCTAGGTCTGCCCGGGAAAATCTTTCTGCCGAGATAGCCCAACTCAAAGAAGAACTCAAGTGCCGAGAGGCTTCTTTCGTTATTGAAAAAAGTTATGCCCTGTAAAACATGAGGAGAAAAACCTTGGAAGAAGCCAAAGCTGGTGTCATTGATATTGATGCTGAAATTGCTAAGGCACGCGAGCTTGAGTTAGCCGCTAAGATTGGACTTCCATCGAGGTCCGATGTATCTTCCCATCTAGTTCTGGTTCAAAATTTTTGGGAACTGAAGAAAAATCGGGGGGCGACGATGTTGAAGATCAGACTGGGGAAAATCTCGAGCCATCAATGGAACCATCTATCACTCTCGGGGGGTGCGGACACTTCTCTTCCTCCTGGACCCGGAGGCATTGCAGTTTAGCTTTACTTATATTTTCCTATTTTGTATTTCGTTTGGTACGTTCTTGTAAATGAAGACATATTTTGCTCAAAAATACACCCGAAGCCGAAATCACGGTACTGTTTGGCATTGTTCACAGCATATTTGCATGCTTTTCATATGCGGCTTCATGTGTATTTTTTTCCGATGGCATTTTTTATTCCGGGCATATATTCTTCCGGAACCAACCCTTTAACGTGAGGGTTTTTATAAGAGAAGGCCCTCTTATGTTTACGATTCTCTTGAAGAGGACGTCTCATGTTCATTATGACACTAACATTTGAAGTACTTGTTTAGCTTTCAAATGACAAAGTTAGTTCATCGTTCAAACAAGAAACAAGCTAAAAGCAAAAAGATTTCATTTTATTCTTTTTATTTCAAAAAATACATAAGCATCTTGCTATACAGAAAAGAAATTGCCATTACTTGTGGATATCTTGTACAACTTATTTCTGTAGGGCTGGCCGTGCAGTCTCCGGTCCCGATGAAGTATTTTGTTTCCGAATTTTTGCTCCCGGTTGATGTGGCAGTCATTATTTCCGTATCCTCATATCATTCCCCCCAGTGTTCGAATGCGGAGAATGCGAATTGGAACACTGGAAGTCTTGTATCTTCGAAGGCTCCACCAATGAATTGCTAGGTAATCCTCCGCTTGGCAACATACTTTGCTTCCCCTTAGGAATCCATGCTATCAAGCGAAAGAATACCTAACAGTCTTCTAGTGGTTTGTGCTCGTGAACGGTCGGGTAACCTCTTTTCGGTAGCAAACTTAACTTCCCGGTGGGAATTTTCTATCAAAGTAAAGATTATCTAATCGTCCCCGAGTGAAAACTTATTTGTCTACCTTGTTATCAAAGGTCTTGTTGCTGCTGACTTTGTATTATGCTTTCTGTCACAGCCTCGTTAAAAACCTTACCAGAAAAACCTAATCGGGACAAAAACCGAACGAAGAAAAAAAGAGTGCAGCACATACTTTCCGTTTGATTGTTGTTCGTCAGTAGTAGTATCTTTTAAGGTGAGCTA